GGTGGTGTCGTTTTCGTGGAGCCTTTTCTGACGTGCTGTAATGGCATCGCGCTGTCTGCCTCCTCCGTTTCTTCTTTTCTTCTTAAAGCGTTTAATAGCAAGTAAGGGTTTCTTGAATTTGCCTCTCAACTTTAGCGAATCTGTCATAACAGACATCCTTTTTTTCGAAAAGGGCGAGTCCTTTCTCAATCCATATAAATTGTTGTGCCATTTTCCTTGTTGAACTTTGTCTGTCGAAGTCTACTGCGGTTTCTTCTTCTTCAGGTTTACTTCTTTCTTCTAAAAGGTCCATTAAATCTTACGATGATAGCTCTTCTTCAACATCAATAAGTTTCAAGATATCATCATCTTCAACATCTAGCTGCAACGTTTTGCTGATTGATACAATCTTCTAACTAATTTCAATAACTGCATGTTCCTTGTGAAATCCTTTGACGTTATTAAAATAAATTTTTAATACATTTTTCCATATGCCATTCATTTCCAAAATATTTAAAGCTCTTTCTCTTCTGCAGCCGCGACTAAGCGAACGTATTTCTCAGATAATAGGCTTTGAACATAGCCACAGTGCCTTGATCCATCGGTTGAATAAGTGAGGTTGTGTTCGGAGGTATAAACACAACTCTCATATTAGGGTCAATATAACCCAAGTTTTGGGGAAGACCGACAGCATTATACAAAATAAGGTGAATTTTAAAAGGAATATTGTTTTTTGACAATATTCCTTCACTTCGGAAATAAAGCAATTAACAAACCAATCTTCGAATAGAATAACTGTCATCCGCGCTTTAAGGTTGTGACGATAGTAAACGGGAAATAAAGCCTTGCAAATTTTAGCCAATGCCCTGGGATTTGCTGAGTGATAAATCATGTACGGCTTCAAATTAAACCCAGCAACATCTCCTCCGAGAAGAAGAGTAAGGCGATCCTTAAATGCCTTTAATACTGGCATAGTTTTAGCCCCTTTGTGAATGTATGTTCGGTCAGGCATCCGTTTCCAATAAAGGCCAGTTTCGTCAACATATGTTTGCTCCGGCCAAGTAGTTTCTTGCACAATTATTTTATGCAGCTTCTTGAATTTTTCTGCTCCTTGGGCATCAGCACTTGCAGCTTCTCTAATTATCTTGACCTTGTGGAAACTACGCCTATTCTTGAATCGGCAAAACCAACCATGACTTGCCGTGAGAGTCTGTTCTTTAGAGTGGACCACCGTATCGTTTCTTAAGATCGTCATACAATGTACGCACCTTTGCCTGTATCGTTAGAAGGCGAAGTAGCATGCGTTTTTGGATCTTGTACTACATACAAGCTATCAGCAGCTTCTCCATTTCTTCCAATAGCCTTCAACTCTTCTTCGATATTACGGTGGAATGCACAGATGTAACACTTTTGATAGCTTCCATGACACGCTTTCGTGTCTTTGAGAATCGTGGATACCGTTGACTGGGATAACTGAAAATCACGTGCTTTGGCCATGAGTTGTTTCCCTGCTTCCCGCTGGTTTACGATCTTCATTATCTTCCAAGGTAATCGCTTTCCACATCTTTACTACCAACAGGAAAAACATTAGCACGTTTGGGGGGCCATTCTTATAGAAAAGAGCACAATTTTTCAGCACAAAAAAAAACACAAATTGTAAACATTTCTTGAATCGCTATCTCGCAAAGGGTTAGATCGCTGGAGATTAAGGCAGGCCACGAGTGATGCGAAGCTTCCAGCAGCAGCCTTCCAAGCGTACTTAAACTATCGTATGCCATACGCTCACGATCAGCTGTTCTTCCTTTTGTGAAATTGGAAATACAGCGAATTTTGTTGCATCGTAAGATCGAAAACTCGAATAATCGTAACTCGAGGACTATCTGTATTAATTTACTGTACTGTAACCGATTTGATACCGGAGGATGGTCTCAGAATGACTCCAGGAAACGTTGGCTAATCTGGACATAAAATTGCTGTGGGCAGAAAAAG